GAGCATGTCCCACCAGGTGGGGGCCACGGCGGAGAAGGCCCTGGCCCTGGTTGAGGCTAGATGGATGTCCTTTGGGCCAGGGACCACCAGAAAATGTTGATTATTAGAGAGTAAAGCTCTTCGAGGTGTGTACGCCTCCAGTGTAAAATATTTGCTCCGATATTCAACAATACACCTTGGGTTGTCAGCTCTGGGTTGGGGAATACATGGGGATTTTGGGGGTGGGGCCTGAGGTGGGCAGGGTTTGGGGAGAGGAGGACCTTCAATGTGATATAATGCCATAGAGCCCGCCTTCCAAAGCAGCCACTTTCTCCAGGTAGAGTTGCCAGGTCCCCCCCGACTACCAGCAGGGGATGAAGGGGGAAGGGTTGCCAGACCCAGGTTGGGAAACTCCTGGAAATTTGGGTATGGAGCCTGGGGAGGGCAGGGGCCTCGGTGGAGTATAATGCCACAGAGTCCACCCTCCAAAGCAGCCATTTTCTCCAGGGGAACTGATCTCTGTAGTTTGGAGATAAGCTGTAATTCCGGGGGATCCAAACCTGGAGGCTGGCGTCCCTATCCCCAGGGCAACTGATCTCTCTCGCCTGGAGATCAGTTGTAATAGTGGGAGATTGGCAGCCCTAGATATACCTGATTCCAAACCAGAGGCCAAACCACGAAATGGGCAGGTCTGCTTCCTGATGGATGGCAGGCCTCCTCGGCTGCGGAAGGCCTTTTACGGGTCTCAAAGTGGCAAAACAGCCTTCCTTTCGCAGGCTGCTAGTGAGAGAAGGTCACTTGGAGGGATTTGTCCAGGCACCTTTTAAGAAACGTTGACCTTTAATTTCCCTGCGGGCTAAAATGCCAAGTGCGGGCTCTCGGCCAAAGTGAAAGGCGCCCAGGTAGCTCTACAAGATGGCGCTACTTTTGTGTCAGGAAAGAGAGAAAGACCTCAAGACTAGAGCTCAGGTGTACAAAAAACCCTCAGGCCTCTTGCTAGCTGCTTTTGTTTGGAATGCGGGGAAAGGAGAACAATTATTATTATTATTATTTTTTTTTAAAAAAAGCCAAAAAAAAAAATCCCCCGTCCAATCTGCCTGTTCTCTGCAGAGGGGCTACTTTTCAGAATCAAATAGCACAGCCGTTGGGGGAGCAAGAAAACACAAATTAATAATTTTCTCTTCCTGTTAAAATGTAATTAGTATTTGGCAACAGCTCTTCCCAGGGAGCAGGCAAGTGGCTAGAAATGTTAACGTCAAGAAGGGGGTAGAGGGAGGGGTTCTGGACTCTTTTTCTTTGCCTTTCCCTTTTGTGTGCGCGTGTGTGCGTGTGCAAAACAGATTCAAGCCAAATTGAAAAGCAAGTCACAATGCTTAACAAACGGAACTATAACCTTTTTACGAGAAAAGCTCTGGGGCTCGGTTCAGACGTCACGCAAATCCCTCGTTTATTTTAACTACGGTTAGATGGTGAAACCAGGATTCAGCTCCCAGCCGATGGTTCAAATGTAGTTTATGCTGGACTGAATTTTGTTAGTCTTTTATGCTGTTGCTGTTGTTCAGTCGTACAGTCGAGTCCGACTGTTCGCTACCCCATGGACCACATCACGCCAGGCCCTCCTGTCTTCCGTTGTCCTCTGGAGTTTCATTAATTTCATGTTAGTCTTTAAGGTGCCACTGAACTCTTGCTTTCTTCAAATCTTGGTCAGGTTTGATCAAATGTCTTTTCTCCGCCACCCCAGCTGGCATCCCAGCCTGATTTGTGGTAAGGCGTGTGGCAGTACAACTTAATAAACCAAGACTGGGCCACGATATCTGTGCTAGGGTTGCTAACCTCCACGTGACACCTGGTGATCTCCCGAAATTACGAGAGATCTCCAGACTACAGGAATAAATTCCCTTGGAGAAAATGGCTGTTTTGGAGGGTGGACACTAAGCCACTGCGTCCCTTTCGACCTCCCCCCTCCACGCAAAACAAATGTCCAAGAATTTCCCAACCTGAAACTGGCAAACCTAGTTCATACATCACATGGAACCATCATTAAGACTAACAGCGGGTAATCTAGCAATTTCAAACCAGCATTTCCAATCCCGGTTTGATGTACCCCAACTAATGATCGTTAATGGAGCAGTCCGTGTTCAGATTACGCCAGCCACAGGTGGTCCCATTAAACCCTGGTTTCATGAGATGTCTGAACTGAGCCTAGATTGGTTTGTTCAAGGGCCATTTTTGGATAACGCCAATTAACTTGAAGGTCCGTCATCTGCCGTTGTTATTTTTGCAGGGTTGAAGGTACAGTCCTGGGGTTGTGGTGACCCACAGCTGTCTCAAACCAAAAGTAGTTTCGGCAGGTAGCTATGTTGCTCAGCAGTAGAACTAGAGATGTAAAATTTCCAGGGGGGAAACGGAAATTTTCGGAAAAATTGAAAAACAAATGCTACGTTAGCACTTTTTTTCTTTTCGAGATTGAAAGTCATTCTGTTACTTTAGGAACATAAAATATACTATGGAAATTTTTACTTGGCATGAAATTATCACAACTAGCATATTAAAAATATAGTGTATCCAAACAATTATTACAAACAGAATACCCACCCACATGCAAAAAAAACCCCTGAAACCTTTTTCTTTTCTTGTGACAACAGCACCTCCTAAAGGTAGAAATGCATCTTGTACTTGCATTGGAGAGTTCAGTTTGTAACCTAGGACTTGCTTGTCCTCAGTGCACATAAATTAGATCAATCTGATACCATACATATTTTTAGAAATGATTTGGAAAATATTTGAACACCTTGTCTTAAAATATTTTATTCATCACGTTAAAATAAAACGCTCCATAATCAATTTTCTTTTCTTTTCTTTTCTTTTTTCAATTTTTCCAATTTTTCAGAAAAAAGCAAAAAAGTCTTCAGGAAAAAATTTTTTTAAAAACAAGCCCCCCCCCCCCCCGAATTTTTCTGGGTTTTTTCCGGGCTTTCACATCTCTAAGTAGAATAGTGAGATTCAAGTTCTATAGCACTCTAAAGACCAACAGGGGTTTCAGGGTAGAAGCTTTCAAGAGTAAAAACTCTGACAAAGAGAGTTCTGACTCTTTAACGCTTCTACAACCCCTAAGGTGTTGCTGGACCCTAAACCAGAAACAGTCACTCATTCTCAAACAAAGCCTGACGGACACGTGACCTTATACGGCGAACACCTTCAGACCTGAGACCGGTTCTTCGCTAAGCTGTTCTAACAACTTATCTTTCTATACAGCACGGCCGGAGAAAGAGATGCATTTATTTTGCAGAGCATATGCCTCCTTTCCTACATTTCAAGCAGTTTAACAGTGCGGAAAAACATCACAGTGCGCACAACGGAATCACAGTCTCATTTGTGAAGTACCAGGAAAGTTAGATTCGAGTCCAGAAGCACTTTAAAAAACCACAGGATTTGGGGGGGGGGTGAGCTTTCTGACGAGGGGAGCTCTGACTCGTAAAAGCTCTGATTCCCCAAATTCTTGTTGAATCTACTGCAGACCAGCACGGATGCCCTTTGAAACTACCAGGAAACTGCTATTGAAAATCGCTTGGGCTAAATACCTTAAACTGCAGAACCGTGTACTGAATTTGCCAAAGGGCCACTAAAACAGGAATGTCCTGTGGCTGCGTATCTCAAAGTGTAGCCCCCCGAGGATCCCAATTTTGATTTTTAATTTCCCCTCCTCCCTCACCAGTACTTGCAAGGGGGTACAGGATTCCCAGGCTATGAAGAACTTTCAAGGTTAAACCATCGTTTTTGACGATTGGCCCTTGGTGCTCAAGGACGCAAACTGTAAATGTTCTCCGCTCTTCTTCCAGATACCCTTTAGCGGTAATTCTTCCTTGCCAGGCTATTTCTGCTGGTTAGGAATTCATAAGTTTAGACAAGCTTTTCTATCGGGAAGGTGTAACACCCTAGACTCACTTGAGGTGCAAGGGAGATATAACAGAGTTCCCACAGAGGAATGCAAATACCCGTATTGTCCAGATCAGGTAGATTCGCTCTCTGCTACCAGGTAGATTAGCGAACTGCATGAGAGATGTGGCAATTTTTCTCTTTATAGTGTCAAGAGGGAACTGACTTTCATTCTCACTTCTGTGTGTGCGAGAAACTGTGGATGAATAGCTAATGGCTGTTAAATCTAGGGAAAGGAAACCATTGATTTGAACTGAACCCAGAAGCATAGTGGGTAATTGGCACGGCCAACCAAGTCCAGATAACAACTCCATGTCAGCAGAGAAGGGGAAAGGGAGGAATATCTTGCTGGCTTGTTGGAAATAGTCTAGCAACGGCAACTGAGTACCATCTGGGTTAAGTTTGTCTTCCCCTTCCTAACAGTGACAATAGCACTTGGGCGTGACAACTGGCATGAGCCCTTGGGCACAACTTGAAGGGCACGAACCAAAAGACTCTTGATCCTTTGGCTCTTAGCTCATGGTTCTTACTGGTGGCTTGGATAAACCATCTACTGAACCCTGGCAAACCCAAATCACGTTTGTTTTTTCTGTTCAGCTTATTTACATTGCACTTTTCTTTTGCTGTTCTAAGAAGCTTTGGCAGCCTTCAGGGAGAAAAAGTGGGCTATAAATATTCTAAATAAGCTGAAGCTCTCAGGATGTCTCCAAGGGCAGTCCCAGTCAGAGAGCATTGCAGCAGTCAAGCCCGGGTGGTACAGAAATGTTCTCAATATATCAGACCACTCCAGAACGGGTAAGAATCTACATACTAGATGTCCTTAGCAACCAATCCGACTTACCTACCAAGAAGCAGGTGGGTATCCCAAATCACCCCAGGTTCTTGAGCTACTCAGACAGGGTTTCTTCATTACGCTTTATAGTCATCTGTGTGTTTGAACCCAGGTGTCTCAGATCCCAGTAAAGGACTTTAACCATCACACCACACCGACTCTCTAATATGCAACCTGGACTACTGTCTTCTGCAAGCACACCAGCTGATGAAGCAAATGAGAGCCTTGATGCACACAAGTGCATGTTACTTACTTGTGGGTCGAACGTAAACCTTCAGCTTTAAGCAGGGCTTGTCAACCAGGTTAGGCGGGGTGGCCGCTGCAAAACACACAGGGTGGGGGGGGGGGGGGAAATCGGTGGTCAGAGTGTGATACAAGCCCATGGATGTTCAATTCGGAATCTGCAAAAAAAAAAAAAAAAGATGCAGAATAATCCTGAGCGCATGGCCTTGGGACTCTCCCTTGCCCTCCCCTAGGATAGTATCCATACATGTGCTCGTCCCCCATCTTGTCTCTTGAGAAACGAACGATATTGCCAATCAGAACACCTCCAACACAGTGAATACAGAGTCACCAAAGATTATGCAATATTCAAAATCAATTATGGTTTTCTTTTCGGTATGGAATGACGAAGCCCTCCTGGCAAACAGGAGACAGATCCCAGCCTGCTTGCAGAGGCTTAGTGAGGTCAGCAGGCTGGGCAGAGTAGCTTTGCAGCACCTTCTCAGACCCACATGAATACACACAGGGAGCTGCCTGATACCAAATCAGACCCTCGGTCTATCAAGGTCAGTACTGTCTACACAGACCGGCAGCGGCTCTCCAGGGTCTCCGGCAGAGGTATTTCACAGCACCTACCCCCTGATCCCTTTTAACTGGAGATGCTGGGGATTGAACCTGGGGGCCTTCTGCATGCCAAGCAGATGCTCTGCTATGGAGCCACAACCCCTCCTTAACTTCAGGCTGACAAAAGCAAAGCAGGTTCGAGCTAGGAGACGATCAAGGCAGCATGTGACGGCACTGCATTTGGCACAAACTTCCGAGCAGGAGTTATTTATTGGCAGAAGGAGAATTTGGAATGGCAGCAGGCATAAGGGCTTGCTTTGGGTCACACCCAGTCCTTGCTTGCCCCGATGTCTATGTCTGCTTCCTGGGGGAAGGACTGAACAGGAAGCCTTCCCCCCCCCCCGCAGAAATGACAAACAGAACTCTCCTGCCTAACAGCCTGATCCTACGGCCCTGGAGTGAATTCAGTGGGCCTCACTCAAGCCTGAAGATGCTCTTTGCACATACGTTGATGTGACACCATCGTACAGACCACGGAAAGCCCCTTAGGTTTCTCCTGCGAATTGGCCGATGACCCTGCAGACTCCGCAGCGGACATACCAACTGATGTTTGACCCGCACATGTTTCTAGGCCCCGTTAAGAGGCTTAGCCCCCAATCCCTTAAGCTTGACTGAAAACTCCTGCTTTTAAAACCACATCTTTGATCAACGCTTCTCTCAACCCCCCCCCCCCCCACTACCACAAAAAAAAAATGTCAAAAGTTGTCTGACCCTCAGTTGGGATGCTTTTCCTGACCAAATGTCCTTAGATGTGTTTGGATTTCCCCCAATAAAAATCTGCCAAGGCAAATGATACGCTTTGGAGGGCCTCCTTCATCCGAGGGGGGTGGGGTGGGGGTACGTGTGAGAGACATGTCGGGCAGGGTTTGTCTGGGGGAGGGAAAGTTTGTAATTAAAAGGGGGCGGAGGGGGGGCGGAGGGGACGATTGGAGGGACTGGTGGGAAGGCTTTGAGGCATGAAATTGTCTGGATTAGGATGGACAGATCGGCTGAGAAAAGGGGGTATATAAAGCATTGGTGGTGGTGGTGGTGGGAGTGGGGGGTTGGAGGGGAGCTTTGACAAGGTGGATTTTTAGCCTGATCTGAAACAGATCAAACCTGACAGTCCAATTCCGTGCTGGGCAGGGAATATCCTGTTTTAAGAAAAGGCTGACGCTTCCTCTCCTTTGAAGGGTCATCCCAAATGAATGCTCAAGCCACATCCCAAACACCATTTATACTGATGTTTCTCCAGGGGGCCGTAGATCTGAGCCCAGACGCACCCCCCCCTACACCCCGCCCTCTGCTCCCGCCTCATCTATCCTGCCGCTCCCGAATTGTGTCTTAGAAAAGAAGCTGGCCACGTCTTGGAAACAGGACATAAAACGAGCCTTCCCGCCACAGACTCAGGGCTCTTCTAGGGCTCGCCACGCATTTTCCAGATGCTGGAAGATCCAGCTGTTCCAGTGCCTTTTAGCAATGGGCACCTTTTCAAAGAGCCACAGACTCAGGGCTCTTCTAGGGCTCGCCACGCATTTTCCAGATGCTGGAAGATCCAGATGTTCCAGTGCCTTTTAGCAATGGGCACCTTTTGGTCTGTGTTTTATTTTTTTTTCCTATTGTGTACATATCCTTCTTCTGGTCCCCACTCCCCCTTACCCAACTGATACGGAATTCCAGGAGGAACATTTGTGGAACTTCCTTCCTAATGTCCTGGACGTTTATGTTGCTTTAGAATATCTGCTTATCGACTAGACAGATCTGTGCTCGGCAGCATTGGCCCCTCCCCCAAACCACATGCAGCTCTTAGGTTTTGGTTTGGCAGGAGTGGGGGGAAAACCCACCTCTCAGTCATTTCTCTTGCGACAGCCATACAACAGCTACCACACCGTTTCCCCTGCTGTCCACTGGACATGTGTTCGTTTAAGCTCTTTGCACTGTTACTTTTCAACCCCTCGATAAGAACATAAGAACAGAAGAGAAGCCAATGTTGGATCAGGCCAATGGGCCATCCAGTCCAACACTCTGTCACACAGTGGCCGAAAATACCAGGTGATATCAGGAGGTCCAGCAGTGGGGCCAGGACACTAGGAGCCCTCTCACTGTTGCCCCCCCCCCAAAGACCCAAAGATGAGACCCGAAGTCCACCAAAGTGGGTGTCCTCTTTACCACAGGGGACTCCTAGATGCCTCCGGGCTGTCTACTCAGAGTAGGATAGGAAAGCAAAAGTTGCAACACCCCCCTAGTAACAGGTATTTCAAGGTACATCCCCGAAGGTGATTGTGCCAACCTTTAGGAGCCGCACGATTATGGAACAACCTCCCCAAGGAGAAGCACCCAACCCCCCCTACACACACTTTCAATTTTTAGGAGGCAGCTGAAGCTGGTTTTCTTTTCTCCTGCTACAGACATACTAACATGGCCATCCATCTCAATTTATCTGAAGAAGTGAGCGGTGACTCAGAAAAGCTCCTCCCCGGCCACAAATGTTGTCGGTCTTGAAGGTGGTCCTGGACTCTTGCTCCTTTCTCCTGCTACAGACAGACTAGCACGGCCACGTATCTTGATCTCTCTGAAAAAGTGAGCCGTGACTTATGAAAGCTCCTGCCCTGCCACAAATGGTGTTAGTCTTTAAGGTGCTCCTGGTCTCTTGCTCTTTTCTACTCCTTTGGAGCAGAGATCTTCCGATTGTGTGTGTGTAAACTGGCAACATTTGAAAACAGAAGTACTCAGGCACTAGAGGCGTAATAGAAAAACAACAATGAAGTATTAAAAGGATCGTAGTCAATGCCTGGGTTCATAAATATCAGCACTCGCATACTGCAGAAACGGATTACGGACAAAATACAGTGTATAGGCAAAAACACAACAATGCGTTCAGCCAATTATGAAAAGACAGAAACCCTCATAAATATGGCAAAGCGCCGGCGGAATGTAACATTCAGCCAACAATGCACTGATGACGGATAGCAAACTGAAATCCATTTCAAAGCTGATATTCTTCAGAAAAACTCCCCAAGTTGTTTGGGGTCTCTTGGCTTGCTTTACATAGAGATCGTGGGCCATGGAGGCAATTATTCCAAGGCAAAAAACCCCAACAGTCCTGCATGTGCATAATTATACCAATAATAGGGAGACAGAATCTGAATCTTTACAAAGGCCCTTTGCCACTCACGAAATCTGGTATGAGTCAGCAGAATCCACTGTCACTGATCGTGCTGAACACAATCCTTCTGGTACTGTATTTATTGTTGTTTTTGTATTACACCTCTAGTCTGTGAATACCTCCGTCTCCTACTGCTGTAGAGGTCAGTCCTTGTCATTTCCCGCTTTACAAACAGCACCCAGGAGACTCAGTCTACCGGCAGAGGAGCTGAGTTTGTGCAACGAACTCTGGTTCAAATGCAAGCTCAACCTTGGGGAACCGCCCCCCCCCTCCCGTCCCGGGGCCATTTTATAAACTCAGAGATAGAAGAGATGGTGTCTGCACTGTGTCTACAGCATTCCAGAAAAGCATTTACGTTATTTTTGTTGTTCTCGTCTACAGCATTCCAGAAAAGCATTTACGTCATTTTTGTTGTTATTTGGAAAGTGTCCCGTCTCTTACAGGAGAGGCAGTTTCCTCGGTGTAGAATCTCCTCTCGGTCCAACAAATTCAAGGGACGGAAGGCAGCTGTTCCCAGAGGCTTTTGAATATTCCTTGCTGAGACATTGATGGCTAACAATGGGAGGGCTTCATTCTAATTCCTGTCCCAGACCCCCCCTCCCTTTCCCATGGCTTCAGGTTCTCCTAGAGCGAGGGGTGACATTGTCTTCGGACAAGAGAGCAAAGTCACCGTGACGTCACCTTTTCTTGGGACCAAAGACCGCTTCTCAACGGGACCTAGGGGCGACAGAGAAAGACCTGATTTGCATAGCCCCACCCACTCTAGGGGCATATCCTGCCCCAGGGTCTCTGGATACTGGAAGACTGGTTTTTATTAATGAGACCGGATGATATCCATAGGTGGGATGTGTTTGTTTTGGGGGGGTGGGTTTTATCATCAGTTGCTTTGGGCGCTGCCCTAAAGGGAAGGGAAGCGGGTTGTTTCTTTTTTGCAAATTATAAATCTCTGTATGAATCTGTCATCCACATAGCAAGAGGGGGGGGGAAGCAGAATGGCCCCACTTCATCCTCTGGCCAAGAAAGAACGAGAGGCACTTGGATCTTTCTTCCCCCTTCCCCACCAGATCTCATATTCCACTGTGTTCATCTTCTCTGCCAGCTCTTCTTTCTCACCCTTCTTCTCTCTTAAACCAAAGCTTTGTATTGCTCTCCCCCTCCTCATGAATTTCCCATAGCTACCTTTCCCTGAACAATCTGCTTCCTCTGCATACGTCCCCCCCCCCCTGCAGTCTCCAGCTGAGAAATAAGCATCCAACGTCCTTGGTCACTTTGCCTTCCTTTGACTTCACTCGCCAATCCTTATTTCAAAGGTACGAGGACTCGTTTTA